CGCGCAATAAATCTGAGAACAATATAAATGACGACCCCATAAATAATAAACGGCCAAGATACATGTATAATTATTCGAATACGTGACAATAACAACCCCCCCTAAAACACTGATACAGTGTAACTTTGAGCCCACGGCTCTACACCCCAAAAAATTTTCACCGTTCTTGTATGTAAAAGGGGCATACTTGATTCTGTGGTCACTATCTTCCTCACCATTATACCTGACTTAAAAACAGTAAAGTGTTCTTTCACATATGGAATTTTGCTCTCGTGCATATGCTCTTTGCTCCCACTACACCGTTAAAACGGCGACATGATTGATCAGCCCGTGCTGAATTTGTGAAAAATGTTGACCCCTTTAGTCAACTTTTACGTCGTACGACATGTGCCCAAAATGGGTTCTGCACTGTGTTCTTCCGTACTTCCTTCTTCCCTTATATTAGGGTGCGCCTGAACTATTAATTCAAATCATATTTATATATTTAGGTAAGAATATTAAGTTGCGTACAACATTGTTTTTACCAGTATTCATCATTAACCGCTGAAAAGAAGTATTACACGCATAATCTGTACACCTAGATGTGGAAGAGAAAACAATTCTATAACTCATACATATAAACAATATATCGCCACTTCTAACATTTTCTACACGGAAAGAGCAAAGGAAGAAACAGAATGACGTTTCTTGTGAAACTCTCTATATCTATTCTAGTCCTTTGCCTATGGCAAATTGCTGACGGTGTATGAAACAAACAACTGTATTTTGGGGCAGTTACCACACATTTATTGTGATAAGATCTTAACTCTTTCATAGCAACTATACAACTTCCTCCCATTTTTATTTTCACGCTCTACATCATTCTATATACCATAACAATCGCATGTATATTCCCCCTTTTTGTTCTATATTTTAGGCAAGTACACTAGGCACATCCTCGGGTAATGGCACAAGCCCATATGACACGGTAGATGCAAGTACAGTTGGAACGACCACCGTATCGTTGAGTGATGGAACGGACGTGGGAACGCGGGGCACACGTAATTTTTACGACGGTCATGCGACGGCTAGTCCCGCGAAGAACACGGTGTTCGATGATATGCGAAGAAATTTTAAATCCAAGGTCAAAGTACAGAAGCCAAACCACGTGAAGAAGTCATCGCAGGATATAACTGCAGGGAATAATTGTAGAAGAGGTTTGAAGACATTGATACGTTGTAAAATGGGAAGGAAAGCATGGACAATACTTATAGTAATCTCCACAGTCCTGTATGCATTCTTTATGACCATTATCCAACCTTTCAGTAATGAACCCCAAACTGGAATAATATTACTGTTGTCGACGCTCGGGAGCATACATGGAACAGCCCTACTCATTGCAAGTATGTATTTGTGTGTGCTAGTATGCTTCTTGCGCTCCAAAACAGCGAAATGTTTATTTGATAAATTTTGGAAGAAGAAGGAGAAGGAGGAAGCTCCCACAGAAACGAAAAACAACGAAGGAGAACTAAATAATAAACCGGAGATACCCGGGAAGCAGCACGCACCTAAAAAGGCAGGAGAATCTCAGAAACCGCAGGTACCTGAGAAAAAGGAATCATCTGGGAAATTAGATGCACCTAGGAAACCGGATGCATCTAATAAAACCGAGGTACCTCAGAAACAGGAAACACCTAAGAAACCAGAAGTACCTAACAAGCAGGAAGCATCTGGGATATTAGAGGTACCTAATAAACCTGAGACACCCGGGAAATCAGATGTACCTCAGAAACAGGAAACACCTAATAAACCAGAAGTATCTAACAAAACGGAGGTACCTGGAACCACAGAAGTGCCAAATAAACCGGAAGTACGCGCAAAAGCACAAGTACCTCAGAAACCAGAAGTACTCGTGAAACCGGAATCATGTGGAAAATCAGAAGTACCTAAGAAAGCAGACGTACTTACGAAACGGAAAGCACCTGTGAAACTAAAACTACCGTGGTCACTGAAATTAGCGGGGAAACCATAATTAACGTGGTGTATGCCACTTCCGGCAGGCAACTTCACTGTTACAGTATGCTTATATATATTTCTTATATTTACCTGTTTATAACACTTCGTACTATGTTTATGACAGGGTTTATTAATGTTTATATTATTTACCATATAGTTGCGCCTTAAATTATACTGATGTTTATATGTGTCCAATGTACATGGTTTGTGTATATATAACGGGGGTTGTTTATGTGATACATAGTTTATTGATATTAAGAAAAGGGGAATGTACCCCTAAAAAGGGTATACATGTTACTACATTTTATATGTATGTATAATATACAAATATCCTATATCTAACAAACATTAGATGATGATTACCATGCATACAACATGTGGCAAATATTTTCATAAAATAGAACATTCGTCTTTTGTTTTTTGTGTGTTTACCACAAAAATGATGGCACCGAATGAATATCCCGCGTTGACGGCACTTTAAGTATGCGCATCATAATAACAACATACCTTGCGTAGAATATAATGTGGACGCATATAGTGATGCAGGGTCCCATACAACATCATCTACATGGACAGGCGCCCTGAACGGGGACAGGGTATATACCTTGTTGCACGTGTCAAATATGTTGGAGCAATTCTGCGCATATAATTCGTTATGCATAAATTCGTAAACTCGTCGCTCATACTCCTGCCCGCTCTACTGCACAGTCATGGTCGTCACCGAGCCGCTCCCTTGCTCTCGGCAGTTCTGCATTGCGGTGAGCGAAGATGCGCTATGTGCTTGTGCGCTGTTGTTCCCCCGCGTTATGTCCATGCGGCACGCGAGTGTGCATGAATACGTCGTACGCCGTGGCAACACGAGGCGTGCATGCGCAGCCTGCGCGCGCGCGCATGGCGACCATACATGATGCTGGTTCAGCTGCTGATTGCTGCGCGCAGGTCTCGCCTGTAGTGTCGCTACGCGCGGTGCATATGAGGCCTGACGCGTGGTCTTGTGCGCGCATCCCGCGTTACCGTCGCCACCATCCCATGGTGTATCTCTCTTATGTCTGCACGGTGCACGCATGTTGCGTGTGTGGCCTGCGGTCGTGTTGCGCGCGCTGGCTGCTGCTGCAGGCTTGTGCGCAAGGCGGCCTTGTGGTCCAGGCGCAGGGTTCTATACTGCGCGCGCGCTGCGGACACTACTATAGCGCGCATCGCGAGCACATGGTGCAACGGTGGTAGACGCTGCGCATAGTGCGCGCGCGTGGCGCACGTGGTCGGCTCATTTGCGTGCATCTGATGCATGCGCCTCCCGTGCGCATCTGATACCAGGCGCGCGGCGCGTTGGGGGCGCAGGGCGCGTTCACGGCGCACGCCGCGAAGTTCTTGGTGCTCTGCCGTGGGGAGTGCACTGCACGCCTCATGTGCTCGTGCACTGTTGTTGCCTGGTGCACATTGTACCTTACGCTTTTGGTCATCGCAGGTATTGTGCGCCACTGTTTGGTGTCATCTTGCCGCCTGTGATTCGGCTACTGCTGCGTCCACTACACGTGCGGCGTGTATGCAGCATTGTTCTATTCCTGTTCTGCTGCGCTTGTTGCGCATAGCGTTTCATGCCCTACTGGTGCCGACGTGCCTGCGCGTGTGCTGTGCACGCCCGGTTGTGCCAACCTGGTCGTGGTTCACGCACGTTGCACTCCAGTGCCCCCGTGTTGCGCACTTTTTCGAGCACCCTGCGTCATCCCGCCTCGTTTTTTCCCCTTTGTCGCTTGTTCCTGCCCCCTTCCCGCGCGGTTTGGTTGTTGCTCCTGTACATGCCGTCGTTTGCACTTCTTTATGGTTTCCTTGAATCCTGTTCACGCACTCGCGCCTGGTTGCTGCTGCTTTCGCCCACTTTTTCAGCACCGTGCCTCGTTCTGATATGCGCTTTTCCATGGCCCTTTCTCCATTGCATCGCGCACTCCCGCGTACCCTTCACGCTTTTTCCATATGCCACTGCCTCCACTTGCGCCCTTGTGCTTGTTCCACCTTCGGCTTCTATGCATGTCACGCTACTGCACGTGTTCGTTTTTTTTTTTTTTTTCCTCTCATCACCCTCG